GAGCTCCTTCATCTTGTGATTTCTTTGGAGGTGTAATGATCCTGACTGTATTTGACTCAAGTCATTTCAAATTTCATTTTGTTTTTCTCTAAACCTTTGAATGGGGAGGTGGAGAAAACGAAATCGTTTTCTGACTTGGCAGTGGGTGAAGAAATTTGTGCAGTGAGCAGACATCATGATAATCCTTATATATATCTTTAGGTCTGCCTTTAAAGTTCCTGTTTGCCATCTCTAAAAACTCACTGAGAGTTCTCAGCTGCTGCAGTCTTGTCCCCTCTCTGTTTTGATTTTTGATTTTTTTATATTTTTTATTAAAAATTTCCACCTCCTCCCCTCCTGCCATTTCCCTCCCACTCCCTCTCAGTATTCATTTTATAGTTTACAGAATTCTTTCATGTTGATGATAATGCTCGGAAAGAAAGTATTAATTGCTTTAGGACCAAAGTCGGGAGAGGGCACAGTGATACCTGTACATTGCAAAGAGAAACACAAATTACCCTTAAATTTCTTTAACTATTTTCAGAAGGTCAGCCAGCCTTTTTAACTCTGGCTGAAAAGCTTGAGATTAGACTACAAGTTAGTGCTTTATTATAGTGTTCCGGAATCCATAGGCATCTCACCCATGAGTTAGCGCTAGAGACCACCTGCTCCTCAGCCACCTTCTCACTGGGGTCCCGCTCATTCTGGTGCCTCACAGCCCCCAGCCAGCTGTAGCAGTGCGCTTGTCACTGCTTGTTTTTGTTCCTGTCGCTGTTGTCAAAGACCACGTTCCAAGGTAGGAGCGTGGGGGTTAGAATTATTAAGCAAAAAAGATATAAGAGACAGAAACACAGAACAGTATCGGGAGGAACATTTCAGTGAATACAGAGTCCCGAATCCTTTATTTATTTTATTTATTTTTTTATAGTTTTCCATATGCTTTTATACTTCACTTCAAAAGGGAAGGGGGAAGACAACAGACTTCATTAACATGGTATAAGGAATAATAGACTTGTATTCTCCAGCCTTTGGTCTAGGTGGAGCAGATCCATCTCTATACCCAAAATACTAATTAACCACACCCTAAGTCAGAATCTCTTGTTTGTAGCCACATCTATTGTCAACAACTTCAAGAGAACAAAAATAAACTCAAACTCTCTGACCTCCAGTCAAGCTGGAACAGGTTCACATCTGTGGGCCCTCACAAGTGCACTGCTGCCCGGTCCCACCACTGCTTGGTTTTGTTCTTGTAGCTGTGGAGAGCAAACCCGAGACCATACACATTCTCTACTGCTGAGCTGTACAGACCTTTCCTCTGTTTATTTTATAGAAACAAGACTCTTGCTAAATTGCCTAGGTTGGCCTTGACCTTCTTGCTTCTACCTCAACTGGGATTATAGGTAGATCCCACCACATCATCATATTTGTTTGTTTGTTCAAGACAGGGTCTTGTATAAAACAAACTGGCCTCCACCCTTAAAAACACTACTTACAGTCGGGCAGTGGTGGCTTAAACTGGTGATTGGTAGCATTAGTCACAGGAGATTTTTGGTTGGCTTGAAAGAAAATACTGTAACTTTACCTATTCATCTTGGGTTTTAACAGTTTAGAACATTAGACATATCAGTTTATCTTCTAGACTTTAACTCATAGAAGGTACACAGTCGTTGAGTCAGCAGATATTCAACATTTACTCTGTTGTTTTACACTGTGTAATAGAAACTGGCCTAGGAATAGGATAATAGAACTTCTCCTTATCCTGAAAGAAGTTATTCTTTTGAGAGTGGCCAATAATTACAAGTGTTAGAAGATACAAATAAGGTGTCAAAGTATAGCAGAGGCAGTTAGAGGAGAAGGGTGGACCGGCGGTCTACTGGTAGCATTGAAGCAAGAGGGGATCAGAAAGGACAGGGGTGATGAAGGCCAAGGAAGAAGAGCTGGTGGTGGTGGAGCTAGAGCTTTATAACCATGATGAGGAATTTAATTTTATTAATCACAGATGAGAAGTCGTGGAGTGCTTTTATTTAACCCAATTTGTTTTGAGATAAGAAACACTAGTTTCTTGCCCCAAAATACTAATACTTCTGAGTCTCTTGACAAAAAGAATTCTACTCTTAAGAATCCACCCTTAGGGCTAGAGAGATGGCTTAGATGTTAAGAGCACTGACTGCTCTTCCACAGGTCCTGAGTTCAGTTCCCAGCAACCACAAGGTGACTCACAGTCGTCTATAATGAGATCTGGTGCCCTCCTCTGGTGTGCAGGCAGACATGCAGGCAGAACACTGTACATACTAAATAAATAAAAAATCAAACCACCCTAGGCTGAGGTGATGACTCAGAGGATGTGCAAGCATAAGAGCCGGTGTTAAGATGTCCAGGGCTCTTGTAAGTCAGGCACAGTAAGTCGGGTAGCTCAGACCATCAAGTATGATTTGAATAAAAGTTTGGTGGCCTATGCATATAGATGGGGAAGAACATTCTGAGTAAAGACAGACCTCAAGGCTAGCATGCACAAGCCTGTTTGAGGAATTTTGTAGAAGCTGCAGGGAGAGTGAATGTGTCAGCTTCTAGAAATGAGTTTTTCCCGAGTTTCAAGGAGTTCATAAGCCAAAGTAAAGCAGTAGTTAGGCATGGACCTTCCATTCCACAAGTGTCCTCCAGATATAGTCTTTAAATACCTACACTCATGCCGTCACTTGAAATCTTAACAAAGTGATGCAGTTTCTTAAGTTCACTTCATAGGGCAGCTGAACAAATGGATCTCTGTAAGTAAACCTGTAGAATTGGGTTACATGCTTATAGACCCAGCATTTTAAAAAAACAAAACAAAACAAAACAAAAAATCCCAAAACTAAAGATTTCACCATTCCAGAATGGGTATGTAGTTTGGTGGTAGAATATGTGCCTAATGTGCCCAAGGTCCTATTTTTTATCTCCCATAATTCAGAGGGAGACAGGTGGATTTGATAATTTCTACTCACAGATGGTCAGGTTAGAGGCCAAAAGTCTGTTTATTGCAAAGATGCTAAGGACACTTGCTGCTATGACAAACAACGAAAGAGTTAAGATCGGGTTTAGTACAGGGGAAAACTGCCTTTTGTCTGTTGTTTTCTGAGACAGGTTCCTCTGTGTAGCCTTTGCTGTCCTGGAACTCACTCTATAGATTAGGTTGCCCTCGACCTCAGAGATCTGCCTGCCTCTGTCTCCCAAGTGTTGGGATCAAAGGCCTGCTGCTCCCCTATGACCAGCCTGGGAAAACTGCCTTTTAAGAGCAGGTTTTAGTAGTCCAGTTTTTTTGTTTTTTTCTTTTTTTTTTTTTTTTTGGTGGTGGTGGTCGTGGGGTGGTTGGTTGGTTTTTCTTTATTTTTTTAAATTTGTTTTATTTATTTTTAAAGAAAACAAACATTTTTTTTAATTTTACAGATCAATTCTAGTTCCCACTCCGTCTCCTCCTCCCTTCCCTTTCCCTCCACTTAACCCTCCACCCCTATCCACTCTTCAGAGAGGGTAAGGCACATTGCTTTGGGGAAGGTCCAAGGCCCTCCCTGCTATATCTAGGCTGACCAAGGTATCCATCCAAAGAGAATAGGTTCCCAAAAAATCAGTACAAGCAATAGGGATAAATCTTGGTGCCACTGCCAGTGGCCCCACAGTCTGCCCTAGCCATACAACTGTCACCCACATGTTGGTTGGTTTTTCGAGACAGGATTTCTCTGTATAAGAGTCCTGACTGTCTGGAACCTGCTTTTTAGACCAGGCTGGCCTCGAACTCACTGAGATCTGCCTGCCTCTGCCTCCCAAATGCTGGGTTTAAAGGCGTTCACCACCACAGCCCGGCAGTAGATGAGTATTTAACATACACATGGCCCCCGAGTTCACTCCCCAGAACTGAAAATGCATGCCTGTAATTCCAATATTTGGGAGGTAAAGGCAGGAGAATCCTGATGTTCAGGGTCATATTTAGCCACATTTGTGAGATCTTGTCTCAAAAAGGAGGGGAAGAAGGTTTTAACTGTCCTTAGCTGTATAATTTCAAATACTCTACAAGCTAAGTCATGAGGATCACAAGTTCAAGACTTGTCTAGGCTATAGAGTGAGTTCAAGTCTGGACTGCTTAATAAAACTCTCAAATAGAAAGTGAAAAAGAGGGCTGGGGATGCTAGAGAGATGAGTCAGTGGGTAAGAGCACGCGCTGTTCTTGCAGAGGATATAAGATTGGTTCTTGCCCCCCATGTCCGACTCACGGCCACCTGTAACTCCAGCTCCGGGGAATCCAGTGCCTCTGGCTTCCACAGTTGTCTGTACTCCTGTATGTTTGAGTGTGTATGCACATGTGCTCAGACATATACAATTAAAAGTTTTAAAAAGATAGCTGGACTTATAGCTCATTGGTAGAGCATTTACCTAATATACATAATCAGGTTTTATTAATATTCCCTGTTCTTTCTAGCTCAGTAGCACCAAATCTTTTAAATGTTTTTAACTTGGTGATGAATATTTTCTATTTTCATAGAGTGAAATTTTCTATATGCTCCTTAAGTCTTGAATTGGTCACACTGTCATCACTGTCCATAACAGAAAACTGGCAGAGTTGTGTGTATCAAGTGGGTTCTGTGCATTGGAGTGCCTCGTTTGAAATGTCCATGCCCTGTAATCTGTTCAGAGGATGCTGGGACTATTCTAGTCCTCATGGCCCACAGCTCATCTTTTCTTGCTGCTCTGAATTTTGTGTCATAGCTAGAGTGGCCTTTTGTTTGTAAAACTTCTATTCTTTCTTTATTTATCACTGTTTTCTGTTGGAATCCTGTTCTGCAAATTGCCATTCAGTTTCTAGGTTAGTTTGCTAGGAGGTTGGAGCTGAAATAAAATTAGTAGAGAGTGTCCAGAAACATGGGTCTGAGACAAAACATTATACTTTCTGCTAATAGCAAAAAGAAAAGAAAAAAGGAAAGTGGTGCATGTTCATATAAGTACAGATTAGAAGGACTCTTGAAATTCAACATGCCTTTTTTCTCCTCCAGACAGAACTTACAGATATCACCTCCGACGCTTAATAGTTCTGCTGTAATTTCTTGGAGATAGGGTCTCTCTACAAAGCCCAAACTGACCGCCACCTCACAATCCTCTTGCTTCCATCTCTGGAATGCTGGGGTTACAGGTATGTGCCATCATGCCTGACTACCCTCCTTCCTTAAAAGGACATGTAACAACTTCTTTAGCCTCCAGTTCTATTTCCATTTGAAGTAGAGAATTCAAGATCCTAGCATATAGTAGACATTTAAAACTGCTAAACGAAAACAAAAAATTGTACTCAAATAAGCTCATTAGTAAAACTCTGTGTGTGTTCTGGAAATTGGTTTTTATACAGAGAAAACTATGATAAAATTTTACTTATCTGTTATATCTATAGATGGATGGATGGATGGATGGATGAACTCAATGTAAATAATTGGACTTGATTGTATATATACATATGTGCATCCCCCCCATGAATATGCATGTTCAGGTGCACATGTACATTTGCCTGTACATATGAAGGCCAGAGGTCAACCTCAGATATTTTTCCTCAGGAGTCATCCACCTTGTTTGTTGAGACAGAATCTCTCATTGACCTTCCTCAATTGGCTGAGTAAGCTAGGTTTGCTGGCCAGCAAGCCCCAATAATCACCGGTTTCTGCCTTCCTGGTACTGGAATTACAAGTGTGTACCACCTTCTGGTTGCTGCTTTCCTTCTCTCCAGCTCTGGGATTTCAAGTGTATACCACCATAGTGGCTTTTTAAGACTGTAGGTTCTGGAGGATTAAACTAAGGTCCTTGTGCTTGCAAGGTAAACACTTCATCAACTGAGCTATCAATTTGACTTTATAATTAAGAATAATTAATTATAAAGGTGCTAGAAAGATTGCTCAGTGGTTAAGAGCAATCTCTTATAGAAGACTCTTATAGAAGATCTGGGTTTGATTCCCACCACTCAAATGACAGCCACAACTATCTGTAACTACAGTCCCAGGAGATCTGACACCCTCTAGCTTCTGAGAGCAAGCACATACATACATGTAGACTCATGTATGTATGTATAAATATATGTGTGTATACATACATATATATGCTGATATATATAGATATATCACTGATAAAAAGAACATCCAAGATTATGAGCCTGAAATATCAATATGATTTATTTTGGGCTTGAGTGAAATGACTTGCTGGAATTTGAGCTCTTTCAGAAGCCTTGCTACTAATGAGGCTTTTTTCACATTGAATATGAGTGACTGTTGGTAAAAGAATAAGCAACATCAATCTAGCATGTTACCAGTGGTGAGTTTTCGAGAAATAAGTTTGATGCAGAGATTATCTGGCAAAATCCAGAGGTTTCTAGCAGGCTGCTTAAAAATAACGATAGAAGCTAAGTTAACCATGGGTAGAGGAAACATTTCAAGCCTAGGTTACAGAGAGCAGTCAAATCCCTACTCACTGGACATCATTCCTATCTCCGTATGAGTCTTAGGAGGACACAGTAAGCTTGCTCTTATACACCAATAAGAAAAGCCGCACTGCACATTATGGACTGAATTTATCAGCTATCCAGGCAAATATTTTACTGCGTGTGTTCCAGTCAATAAACTTGTGGAATGCTCCTTTGTGGCACCTTACTTAAACTGGGCATCTTTTTCTCCCTTTCCCGACAGTTGCTAAAACACAGATGTGCTGGAATTAGTCCAATAGCCACAATTAGAGGGGTTTGGGTTTTTCTCAAGACATAGGATGACTATTGTTTTCTTTTTTTAAAAAAAAAAACAAAACAAAGAGTTAACCCTTTTTACTGCAGAAGAAATAGTGTTCTTTATTCTAGTTACTGTCTCATTTTTCATAAACAAAGATGGAGAAGCTTGCTGCAAGAAATTTGCCAGTCTTTTATATTAGTTATTTGTAAATCCTTTGCTTTCTGGCAAAACCCCCCAAAATATTGGACTTTCCCTCCTCTTGACTTGTTCCATCTGCCCATCTATCACATCCTTGTTGCATGGGGCTTGGCTGAGTTGAGTGCTGTGCATGTGTCAGGAGCCTGTGAGAATGAGGAAGCAGCTAACAGACCCAGCTGAATGCTGAGTGCAGAGAAGAGCCAGGGTTTGCCCTTTGTGTTACCTCCATGACTCTGGGAATCTGATGGTTTCAGATCCTGGTCCTTCATTAAATGCCAGCCTCTCTGTTAGCAGATAACCAGTCCTTTTTCTCTCCACTCTCTTTTACCCATTTCTTTCAAGTTTTTTTTAGGTTATCTTGAATGTCCCATTCCCCGGTTCTATTTCTGCCAAAATGATAGGTTGGAAATTATAAATGCTCTGTCTTTTCTTGATTTTTAATAGAGGGTCTCATATGCCCTGGTTGGCCTTGAACTCACCAAATAGCTGAAGCTGGCCTTGAACTCATGATTCTTCTGTTTCTACCTTTCAAGATCAGGGATTACAAGGCTGCTAAGCGTTCTCTCTCATTTGAAGATTTTGGCCCGAAAGTTTTGATAATGATATCATATGACTGTTTTCAGTGTTCACTGAACATCTGACCGAATTTGCTATAGTCTGTTAGCCTTGAAGGATTTCTCAGTGGTTTAACAGTCGGAGTAATGAGGATACTGCCGCAGGTAATGCCTCTGTTACTTGTGACAGAGAAGTGTTTCCCACTTCAGCTGTACATAGCTCCTGTACTCTTCATGGCTCCAGGGATTGACCTTACTAGGGCAGTAAGGAAATCAAAAAAAGAAAGAAAAGCTGGGATTGGATGGTCTAGGCTCTCTTACGGAGAAGCCAAAGCCATCTCCTCACCTCCAAGCTCAGTGTGTTTGCTATTATATTGCTGAACCTGGAGTCATACAGCTGTTCATACAGCTGAACAAGGGGGCAGGTTTAGTTAATCTCTGAAGGACATAAATATCTGGGGGTAGAAAGCTACAGTGGACATTTTCTGTACATGCTAGTAACATCCACACTTGGACCAGAGGAAGGTTTTTTTACTCCTGTTGGGGTCCCTGTCAGGCCCTTGGCATGGCTGTACTCATATCAACAACACACATTCACTCAGGACTTCACTCACTCCTTACACACAGCAAATTCCACGGAAACAAACGCTGAAATAGAGTCATGCAGAGAAATTCATGTGTGGACTAGCTAGTTGGTTCATGTTAGGAATTCCATACCAGATTTCCACACGTAGCTTTGAGACTTTTAGCAGCACTGCATACTGTTGAGGATAAATGCTAAAAGGGATCCCTCCCCCTTGAAAACAATATTCTAGAATGAATAAGATACAATTTTTATAACATATGTACTGGGATATACGCTTGGGAGAGATCTCATATGAGACATCCCTTGACTAAAGGCAAACTATTAGTCTGTTCAGAACACAAGATGAGTGGATGACCAGCTGTGATAAGGGCATACAGAATTACTTTTCATTCAACTTCTAAGTAATAGAACCTAACATTCCAGTCAGAGCCTGTTTTGCGTGTTTAATTTTCTTAAATTACAGCAGCCAAAATGAGCCTATAGAAAGGTTCTGAAAAGAAAAGCATCAGAAATTAACCAGTAGTCTGGATGAGAACACAGCAAACCTGAGGATGCATTTTCCCAGAGAAAATGTCAAAGCTAGTGTAGAGTTCTGTGGTGATCCATCAGTGGTGAGAGGTGTATAGCAAACTGAGCAGGCTGCATGAGCGTATGCCTCCTCCATAACTAATTGTGACATGGCCATTGAGCTCTACACAGGATTATTTCAAGTAAATCTGCTTGCTACAATTTCAGCACTTAAAAAATAGTTTTGGGGGCTGGAGAGATGGCTCAGAGGTTAAGAGCATTGCTTGCTCTTCCAAAGGTCCTGAGTTCAATTCCCAGCAACCACAAGGTGGCTCACAACCATCTGTAATGAGGTCTGGTGCCCTCTTCTGGCCTTCAGGCATACATGCAGACAGAATATTGTATACATAATAAATAAATAGATATAAAAAATAGTTTTGGGCTTCAAAAATATTTTAAGACTGAAAACATTAGTAGTTGGAGACCATTTTAGTTAGTAGTTCTGTTGCTGAGAACATGGCATTGCAAAGCAGAGTTGCTGTGGTTTGAATTCTGGGACAACTAAACGTAAGTACCAACCTTTTTGTATCATAGCTTTCTCAGCCGTAAAGTAGGTTAATAATGAAGGCTGTGATTCCTTTAAATGAAATGTTTGAGACCAGAAATACTTAAAGTTTGAGGGTTTTTTTGTTTTTCGTTTTTTTTTTAATATTTGGGTTTACATAATGAGGTATATTGGAGATGAGACACAAGCCTAAAACACAGTATTAGTTTATTCTGTATATACACAAAGCCTGATGGTGTTATGTACAGTTTCATAGTGTACCTGCAATTTTACTATAAAATGATGTCAGATGTGAAATTATGTACTTGATGGCATTTTTTAAGATTGATTGATTGATTGATTGATGCAGTAACCTGCCTGTAGGCCAGAAGAGGGCAACAGATATCATTATAGATGGTTGTGAGCCACCACGTGGTTGCTGGGAATTGAACTCAGGACCTCTAAAAGAGTAGTCAGTGCTCTTAACCGCTGAGCCATCTCTCCAGCCCCCACTTGATGGCATTTTATCAGTGGTCCAGATATTATAGATTTTAGAACATTTTGGATTTTCAGGTAACAGATACTCAATCTATAATGCCTAATAATAAAGTTGTAGGAATTAAGTGAGCTAATATTTATACATTTTACATGACCTATAATAAGTACTATGATTTTTTTTTTAATTTGGTTTTGTTGTTGTTTTGGCTTTTTAAGACAAGGTTTCTCTGTGCAGCCTTGACTGCCCTGGGACTCTTTCTGTAGGCCACACTGGCCTCAAACTCAGAGCTCTGTCTGTCTTTGCCTCCTGAGTGCTATGCCCACCACTACCTAGCAGCTTTTAATTTTGTTTTTTGTTTTGTCTCAAGTTTCTTTTTTTTCTTTTTAAGATTTATTTATTTATTATGTATACAGTGTTCTGTCTGTCTGTATGCTTGCTGGCTAGAAGAGGGCATCAGACCTCATTACAGATGGTTGTGAGCCACCTTGTGGTTGCTGGGAATTGAACTCAGGACCTGTGGAAGAGCAGTCAGTGCTCTTAACCTCTGAGCCATCTCTCCGACCCTGTCTAAAGTTTTTTGAGACATGGTTTTTCTCTGCAGTCCTGGCTGTTCAGGAGCTCACTCTGTAGAACAGGCTGGCCTCAAACTCTGCCTGCCTCTGCCTCTGGAGTGCTGGGATTGATTAGTGGTGTGTGCTACCGCCACCTGGCCTTTTTTTTTTTTTTAATTTTTAAGCAAAACTGGGTTAGTATTTGAATTGAGCACTAAGTTCTGACTCTTCAGGCTTCAAAATGTATGTTAAATTCCATTTACTTTGTTTTTCTGTGTTCGGTGATTAGGTTTAATTTGGTTTTGTTGTTTTGTTTTTGGCGGGGGGTGGTGGTGGTGGTTCGAATAGGGTTTATCTGTGTAACCCTAGATGTCTTGGAATTCGCTTTGTAGAGCAGGCTGCCTGGTCTCAGAGATCTCCCTGACTCTGCCTCCCAAGTGCTGGGATTGAGGGTGTATGCCACTGCACCTGGCTAGGTTTAATTTGTTTAAATGATGGCTTTACAGAGCCATGTTTGTGGGGGGTGGGGCATTAATGTGTTTGCCTTCTTTAGTGTTGCTTTAAATCATATACCCAAACTGAGATATTGTGGTATGTGTGAAAGAAATAACCACTTTTTAAATCTCCATAAAACATAAACGTTAGAAAATGTCTTTTATAATATGTTAGAATTTGATGATAATCATTTCAGTGGTGCTCAACTCTTGACTATCAACAATTTTAGACTCTAAGAAATGAAACACACACTTAAGAGAATAGATGCCTCAGTAGAGAGAGAAGCTCACCAAAATGCTAAGCTTCCGAAGGAGCAAAGGGGTTCAGCCTTTTTGGAAAAGACTGACACCCAGCTAGTTCACTCCAGTTACTTTATTCAAAAATATACAAGGTTAATAGGGGCTGGGAAAGGTTCCAGCTACCAAAGTCATCTTGCTCTTGCTGCCCGTGAGAGCAGACAGTCTACACAAATCTCATTGCCTTTTGACTATGGCGAGACATAATCAAAAGTAAGAACTGCAGGGCTGTGAGGAGTCTTAGGACCAAGGTTGGTGCAGCTGCAAACTGTCATGCAGCAGCACCAAGTGCAGACTCTCCAGAGAGACAATGTCTCAGCCTCTGCTGATTAACCCAAACATCGGAAACATTCCACTCAAAGCCAGACACAAAGCCTTTACTTTACATATCATGACAGTGGTGTGCCTGCTGTGTGCCCAACATTCACAAAGTGTTCGGGGGTCTAGAAAAATTGTTTGACTTTATTTAGCTGTTTCCAGCTTGAAATACTGGAATAAGTCCCCAGAGAGTCTTTTTTTTTTTTTTTTTTTTAGAAAATGTACTTTTGTTTTGGGTTGACTTTATTTTTAGGAATTTACAGTATTCTTTTAACAGTCACACCAGATGATTGAGTAAAGATCTGATTTCTAGCTTTGGTGTTTGACCTGTGTGCCAGGGCCTTGCTTTCTCATTACACAATCAAAGATTTTACCAGAAAGGTGATCCGTCCTAACTTTTGTGATTTTATGCCTCCTAGTTCCCTGATGACTGTATCAGTGAAAAGTTCATTATGTGATATGGAATATGGGGCAAGGAACTGAGGCTTCTGTTTACAAAAAAATTCTACACACGGCTTTAATAAATAAGGAGTTTTTCTAATATAAAGTCCCAATAGTAAGAGTAGGGCATAGTATATGTCCAGAACTCTATCATCTTCCACATTGTCAGTGTTAAAATATTACTTCTGTGCCAGTGGGATGGCTCAACAGGTACAGCTGCTGGCTGCCAAGATTGACAGTCTAAGTTTGATCCCTAGGACACACATGGTGGAAGAAGAGACCAGATCCTGAAAGTTTTCCTCTGACCTCCTCACACATGCTGAGATACACCAACATATGCATACTCACACACAAAAGCACACAACTTTAAAAAGTCTATCCAGGTGGTGGTGCATGCCTTTAATCCCAGCACTTGGAAGATAGAGGCAGGTGGATCTCTAATTCAAGGCAGTCTGGTCTACAAAGTGAATTCCAGGACAGACAGGGCTGTTAACAGAGAAACCCTATCTTAAAAAACAAAAGAAAAGTTGCTAATATCAATCTTTAAATGTCACCAGTATACTAAAGTTTTGGGCAATTAAAATCCGTGGTAGTTCTTAAACTAATCTGTAGTGACTCTTATGCTGGGTATCCCAGCAACTGATGTTCATTGTCTTTACATATCTTTGCTTAATACTTCTTCCATTAATCACAGTGACTTGATTAAAATCCCCTCCATGTTTAGTCAGAGAGACCTGTCTTCAGCCTGTGGGGACAGTTACTAACAAAGAATGTCTAACAGTGAACAAATGGTACTGCTTGTATTGCTGAGCGTAAGTGCATAATTAAGCACTGTTAGCATACTGATCTCTGGGACATCAAACATGATGTCCTCAGCGATTCCCAAATCCTCTGGTGTAAGGTGTACAGAGTAATGACCTAGACTTTAGTGGGAGGGGGGCATGGGATTCTGAGGAACAGAAGCAATATGGAGCAGTATGGAGCACATATACAATGAGAGTTATAATATCAAGACTAGTTCCCTTAGACTAATTTCATTCCTTATGCTTGGTGTGCTCATTAATTAATGGGTTTCTGTTAAGTAGAGGACTCCCCACAGTACCTTAATGACCATATAACTTATAAAAATGCTTAATGTATGTTCTGTTATAAATGGTGTACTTTACAGATCTAATCATGGTACATGATGTTTAATCTGTTTTAGAAACTGGATGGCTTCTACAGGGAGCCAGGCCTCTGATATAGACAAGATTTTTGGATTCTTCAATGATGGCGAACCTCCCACCAAAAAGCCCAGGTAAACAAGAGAAAGGGAATCAAAGGAACAGAAAATTACCATTAGTGGGAGGTACTTACCCTGAACTATTGGGGATTTCACTGATTAATATAGCCTTCATTTAAAAGACTAAATTATTTTTTACATTGGACTTAATTTTTTATTAAGCTAATACATACTTTTAAAATTTGTTACTTTAAAGGTTAAAATATCGTACTCACCAGAGATAATAATTTCCTATTTTTTCTAATCCTTACATCTGTTTTGTTTTGTTTTTGATTGTGAGACAGGGTCTTGATATGTAACCCAGGCTGGTCTAGAACTCTTGCCTTAGCCTCCCAGATGCTGAGTTTGCAGGCATGCACCTGACAGCACACATTTTAAATGCTGTGCTCTGCTACAAGCAACACATGTAACAGGAGATAAGGACTCTGTTTGCTTTCCTGGTTCCTCCCCGTGTTTTGCTGCCCTACTGGCTTCACCCTTATCTTCTCGTGTTTATCTCTCTACTTGTTCAACCAGTTCTCAATATTTACATTATCTCTTTATCCATAGTATTAATAAACTGGGTGGTTTAATTCCAACACTCAGGAGACAGAAGCAGAGGCAGGTGGATCTCTGAGTTCAAGGCCAGCCTACTCTACATAGCAAGATCCAAGACAGCCAGAGATTCGAAACACAAAACAAACATAAATAATATTAATAGCCAATCCTAAAGTGTTAGGATTTTATTCCCTTTTGTGCTTTTTTTTAAACTTCCATATTACTAAAGTGTGTCTTGGGTTTTTTATTTTCTGTGTCCTTTTTATCTTCAGATGCTGAAAGGAGAATTAATCTATCATATGCTGATTGATTCTGTGAATTCTTACTCCTGTACTCGGCTCCTTAGTCTCCTGCTTTTGATTTTAATGTACTCATTTTACTGAAGCATGCTCTCAGGTGCCTTCCTTAGTAAGGATACATAGGAGTAAATGTTGGAGATACTAAATGGCTTCATCATTTCCTTACATTTATTTAATGGTTTGGCTGAGAATAGAATTTTAGGTGTGAAACATTTTTTTTCTTAGAGTTTTGACAGCACCACTCATTTCTCTGGTAAGAGAAAAGTGTTCTTACCAAGATAGACACTGTGCTCTGATTAGCAGTTGTTTTAGAAATGAATTTGAAAGAGGAAATGGTGATTTGGCCACAGTTTGAGAGATTTTTGGCCTATGTTGACTCCATTGCTCTTAAGACTATTGTGAGGTAGAACAGAGTGGCCCACCTTCTGCCTGCCGGGAATCAGAGCCATGAGAGAAGGGTCCAGACACAAGATAGCATTCTTTCAGGTCACATCTTTAGTGACTCCGAGTCTCTACCAGTCAGAAATGCTTTCACATTATGAACCCATCAGTGGATTAACCTGGTAATAAGTTGATCCAATTTACCTTCCCAAAACCCCAACTCTGAACGCTTGCCTTGGGAACCAAACCTTCTGCAGTTGAACTTGGCCAGGGGCTGTTCGGTCCCAAATCAAAACAACAGTTTTTGTGTTGTGTGATCTTTTGCCTTTGCTCACTAGAATCTTACAAAAATACATTACTCTCAGTAACACAGAAAGTTGTACAATACCATACCATATCTTGCAAACTAAATAGTATGACACCTTCAAGCTACTTCCTGATAACTTCATTTTGAAGTAATTATCTTGTGTTAACCTGATATTGAACATTTCTGTCTCTGTAGAGCTTTTGTTGTTCAGACGTTGAACCTTCTGTCATTGTGTGTTCATGTTTTCTCTCCACCCCCACCCCATCTCTCACTATTTGGCGGCAAGGTCTTTGTATGTAACCCATCCTGAGCTCCAGCACTATCCTCCTCCATCAGCCTCCAGAGTTCTTGGATTACCGGCATGCATCTCTGTGCCTGGCTCTGTTTTTCCTGTTCTTTGTTTCAGTTCTCATGCATCTCTGTGCCTGGCTCTTTTTCCTGTTCTTTGTTTCAGTTCTACTTTCTTAAAGGTTTTTCTCAGTTTTTCTTAGGGATTTTTAAAAATTGCTGTTACGTTTTTAATTTTCTTCAATTTTGTTATTGTTACTGTTTTTGTCCTTTTGAAGACAGGGTGTCACTATGTAGCCCCAGACTGTCTTACAAGTGTGATCTTCCAGCCTTAGCCTCCTGAGTGATTTGAGTGATTCCTCTCTACCTGCTAGCTTGTTTGTACGTACCTCTTATCATGTGGGCCTTTTTTTTTTTTTTTTTTGGTTTTTCTAGACAGGGTTTCTGTTAGTTTTGGATTTGTCCTAGAACTAGCTCTGGTAGACCAGGCTAGCCTTGAAGGCACAGAGATCCACCTATCTCTGCCTCCCAAGTGCTGGAATTAAAGGTGTGTGCCACCACCTCCTGGCTTATGTGGGCCTTTTGCAGATGTAAAGTGACCATATAGTTTGTCCATTCATACTTAAGTTACTGAGAAGCAGTTAGGAGTCGATGTGAGTATGGATATTAGTCAGTTCTCTAGATCAGTGATTCTCAAGCTTACTAAAGCTGGGATCCTTTACACGGTTCCTTGTGTTCCCCAACTATAAAATTATTTTCATTGTTACTTCAAAACTAATTTTGCTACTGTTATGAATTATAATGTAAATATCTGATATGTGCCCCTGTGAAAGGTTATAAAACCCCCAGAGGAGTCAGTCACAGCCCACAGATGAAGAGCCACTGCTCTAGAGGAATAGAACTGTCAGGATGAATACATATTTAATGGGGTTAATTGATTGGCTTGCATGGTGTAGTCTGGGTAGTACAACAGTGCCCCAATTCACATTGGAGGACAGAAGGAGGTGGGTTCTGCTATCAGTGAAGAACTGAAGCGTGGACGGGGTAAATGAACCTGTCAGCAGGATGGGAGGGCAATGCTCATCTTTTTTTTTTTTTTTTAATCTGGCTGCCACTAGGTACATTTCATTTCGGGTGGATGTTCCCACTTCCCACTTTGAATAATCTGGTCAAGCAGATTCCTTACAGGTTTGCCCAGGGATTTTTCTTTTAGTTGATTCCAGCAGATTCTGTCAAATTTGGAACCAGTATTCATCATCTCAACATGCTGAGGAGTTTCCCTCTGAATAATAATCCTGGAGCAAGTTCAGCAGTTGAGGACCTGCTAAAGCTGGGCCTTTTCTGCCATATGGCTGTTTCCCCAAAGAGAAATCTTCCCATCTCTTACATGCATGGATACTGGGTGCAGAGAAAAGGTTAGATCCTAGAGACTGGGAGACTGGTTGGGGAAGTCTTAGATTTCATGTGGAGATTCTTCCTTAATCCCTCCCACCTGGCACTGTACACAGTGTTCTCAAATGCAGCGTCCTCTGGCTGACTTTCTTCAGACTTGCAGCTGAGTTTTAGTGCGACCTGCCTACCCAGCTGAGCATACGCCTCAACATTGCTGAGCTTCTGCAAACGGAATTGGGTTTTGTTCTGAACTTCTAAAATCATGCTGCCTTCTGATGTCCGTTGTCTGCTTGCTGCTGTCATCTTACCCTACCCTTCTTTTTATACATGCTGTGGCAGGGTATTACAGCCCAGCACTGCTACCAACAGCCCAAGGAGTTACACTTTAGAGACCTCTGTACAGGAAAAGAAAGCAGCGGCAAAGAATTTTGGTACAAGCAAAACTGTTGATCTTATTAAGACAAGAGGTAGTGGGTACATCATTTTAATTTACTATGGGGTCTTGTGGGAGGGGGCTGCTTTTAGGGACAGGATAGTACTCGCTCAGTGTAAGCTGCTTGAGAATTGTCTTTACAATGGCTGTTCATATGAGTCTATGGCTTTTTTATGTTAAATTTCTCAGTATAATGTACACCAGCGGTTAAAGATTACTTAAAACTTAAAAATTAGTAAAGTTTGAGCTAAGTAAGGTGGTGTATGCCTGTAATTCTCACACTTATGAGATGGAGGCAGGAGGATCAAGAATTTAAGGACTCCCAGGTCATCTGAGACACTGTCTTAAAAGCATGTACACACACACACACACACACACACACACACACACACACACATTAAATTGAGCTGGTTTTTCTTATTTGTCTTCTTATTGAGCTTCCTTTTATAAATGAGTTTGTAAGGTGGTTTTATAAGGTATTTTGTTGGGATTTGAGAGGCATATTATTACTATCTAAAGTCAAGATGACAAACCTAATCTCAAGTATATAGTTTCATTTGTTGTTTTAACATTCTCATTTAACATACCTCTTAGAATATTGTGTCTATAGAGAATCTTGGCTTTGTCATTTGTGACCAAGTTTCTGACACCCAGACAGATTCTTCAGTGAAAGGCTTTTCCCTTCCCGTGTCCCCTTGATTTTTCCCTTTCTATCTTGCCTTAATACGTCTTCTAAAATAACTATAGGGCCATCATCATGGCTCTGCAGATCATACTATCCCTGGTGTCCTGAGTTTGGTCCCCGCGTCAACATGGTGGGAAGAGAGAAGAAACACCCAAAGTTGTCCTCTAACCTACACACACACACACACACACACACACACACACACACACACACACACACGGTGGGAAGAGAGAAGCAACACCCAAAGTTGTCCTCTAACCTCCACACACACCATGGCTGTCCCGTCCCCTACACACACACACACAGAGACAGAGACTAAATAAATGTATGTTGGGGATATTTTAGATTATTTAGTGATTTAGGTAGAGATCATAAAGCACAACTGCGACTTTTTTGCTTTTTTACTGAAAGCCCTTTTGTGAAAGTATTGTATGGGTGTGTGTATTTCTATAACTGACCTTAAATTTCCAATCCTCCTGTTTCTCCCTCCCAAATTCTGGGATTATAGATCTTGGCTATCACATCCAATTTTCATTCATTGTCTTGATTCTCCTTTTAAAGCATACTCCATATGTGCCTCTAATAGCTGTGAACAGTTTTGTTGGTTACCCCCAGCAGATGAGCTATTTTATAAATGAGCCATCTCTCGTCTCTGCGTGTTTGCAGGTTTTCCTATTTGTTACGTGATTGAGTGTAAAGATTGGAGTAGGACAGGCAGTTCTAGAGGTTGTTTCCCAGGACTTCAAAGTGTGCTCTTTGTTGGGTTTTTTCTAAGTGCTGATCATGTTTCTATTCATTGTACTATTTGGAAAAAAAGGGTAAGGCAAGTAATGATTTTAATGTAGCCATAGAACGAGAGGGGAAAGGGAGCTGAAACATGCTGTCTCAGCAGGACTCTGCTCACCGCCATGAGAACGGGCTATTTTGTTGTGACAAAAACATGAGGCTCTCTTTCATGTTCTCAGAAGCCTGCTGAGCACTTTTTTTTTTTTTAAACCCAGTGATGTCTAGAACCATGCAGGTTTGTCCGCTGAATTTGGCTTTCATGCTGAGTTTTATCTTTGCTTATAAAATCTGGAATCAAGTTTTTTATTGTCTTTCTTGTTTTAAATTCATATCTCAACAAACAATATCAACTTAATTTGTATGAAAATATTTTCTTTTTGAAAACAAATCAAACGTGTCCTTTTGAAATTACCATTGGCTTAAAGAATAATTTAGTTGGCAGAACTTCAGCTGTAATACATTTGAACCTGCTGTAATGTTAGTGGTTTTCTTAGCTAGAGAGGACTATGGAGGAGAAAGTTGATTTTAAGATTGTATCTCAGGATTCCTGAAATAGCTACTGCTTTGTCTTCCTACAAGAACTTGGAATAATATTATGGTGTTTCATTTAATCTACTTTGGAAAAGTGTCAGAAATTGGACTCCTCATTTTTCCAACTAAAACTTAGTAAGTGCATGCTTTTAATCCCAGCACTAGGGAGGCAAAGGCAAACCGATCTCAAGGACAGCCTGATCTACATAGTAAATTCTAGGCCAGCTAAGACTACACAGTGAGACCCTGTCCCACAAAACAAAGCAAACAACAAGTTCAGCTGTTGAATAATGAGAGCCAGCTCCATCTTTGTCAGGCATCTTTTGCCTTGTGCTCTTTGTCTACTGCCTTTTCCTTTTCAGGAAGCTGCTTCCAAGCTTGAAAACCAAGAAACCTCGAGAACTCGTGCTGGTGATTGGCACGGGCATTAGCGCTGCAGTTGCACCACAGGTCCCAGCCCTGAAATCCTGGAAGGGGTTAATTCAGGCCTTGCTGGACGCTGCTATTGACTTTGATCTTCTGGAAGACGAGGAAAGCAAAAAGTTTCAAAAGTGTCTCCATGAAGACAAGAACCTCGTCCATGTTGCCCATGACCTCATTCAGAAGCTCTCCCCCGTGAGTAGTCCGCTGTATGCCATGGCTGTGAAGTTTCCTGATAATGTGATTAGTTTCTCACTTTAGCAGGAATATTTGTATACTGCTTGTGTATTTATAACATTTGTCTCTCCTGCGAAGTGTCTGTAGAGCCTGTTCAGGGTAATTATCTTGAGCCCATTTTATTCTGTTTGTGAATTTACTTTTTTTGTTGTTGTTTTTTGGTTTTTTATTGTTGTTGTTGTTTTTGTTTTTTTTTTTTTTTTTTTTGAGACAGGGTTTCTCTGTAGCTTTGGATTCTGTCCTGGAACTAGCTCTTGTAGACCAGGCTGGTCTCTCACAGAGATCCGCATGCCTCTGCCTTCCGAGTGCTGGGATTAAAGGCGTGCGACACCACCACCTGGCGAATTTACTTTTTCTATGTTCACTATAAAAGGTATCCATGACTTTAAGGAAATATTAGAAAGATTTAAGTTGGGATTTTGTTGTGTTTTGAGAAAGCATCTTGTGTATCCATCCCATATTGGCCACAAACTTGAAGTCCTCCTGCTTCAGCTTCCTGGGTGCTAACATTATAGGCATATGCCCCTTGCCCAGCTGCAGATAATTCTTTATCATCAAAGGGATAAAGTGAAACCGGTCTTTAGTGTTCTTTTTAGAGGCTGTAACTCAAAATAGTCCCAAAGAATTTTATTTAACTGAAACCGGTTTTTAGTGTTCTTTTTAGAGGCTGTAACTCAAAATAGTCACAAAGAATTTTATTCAACTAAGTTGGATAAAAAACCTAATTGTCTTTCTTGCTTTACCTGAAAAATTACTTGAAAATTAGGATTCACTTATACTATGACTGTTGGTACATGTAGCCAAGGTCAACCTAAAGCTCACTGTGAAGCCAGGGATAGGTTAGAATGCCTGGTCCTACAGTCGCCACCTCTCAAGTGCTGAATTACAAGCTGTGTGTTGCTTGGAATGGAACCACAAGTCTGTACTTGAGCCCACATGTTCCACATTTTAATAATTTAAATACACTTTGAAAGAAATAGGACACTTACTCCTTAAAAGTTAACTGTCAGTAATTTTTATCCCTTTTCTCAAGACTGTAGAAAGAAATGTGCCTAAAACTTATCATAGACCTTAGGGTTTCTTACTTCCTCTTTTCAGTTCCTTGTTCTTAACTGGAACAAACTTTTACTAACTTAAAACCACATAAAGAATTAATGTGGGGGGGGCTGGATAGATGGCTCAGTGGTTAAGAGCATTGCCTGCTCTTCCAAAGGTCCTGAGTTCAATTCCCGGCAACCACATGGTGGCTCACAACCATCTGTAATGAGGTCTGGTGCCCTCTTCTGGCCTGCAGACATACTCACAGACAGAATATTGTATACATAATAAATAAATAAATATTAAAAAAAGAGAATTAATGGGTTTTAAAGAAATCAGATATAAGTAGTGCATGCCTATACTTCCCACACTAGGAGATTGAGGCAGGAGAATTGCTACATGTTTGAAGCCAGCTTACAGTAATGGAGAGTTTGAGATCGACCATTGTAGACTAACTTAACTTTAAAAAAAAAAAAAACAAAAAACCTAAATTAAAACACACACACACATGCCAGGTGGTGGTGTCCCATGCCTTTAATCCCAGCACTTAGGAGGCAGAGGCAGGTGAATCTCTGTGAGTTCGAAGCCAGCCTGGTCTACAGAGTCGTTCTAGGACTACAGAGGCTACACAGAGCAACCCCCTCCCCCCCCCCAAAAAAAACCCAAAAAAAAAAAAAAACCCAAAACAAACAAACAGAAAAAGAGTCCATGAAGTTTTTTTAATTCCAGTGCTGTGTCTAAGGTGGTGGCACACACCTTTATCATTTTGTGTATGTGTATGGGTGTTTTGTCTGCTTGTGTGTATATGTGTATCTTGTATGTTCAGTGCCTTTAGAGGCCAGAAGGACTAGAGTTGTAGATGGTTGTGAACCACTGTGTGGTTGCTGGGGACCAAATCCAGGTGTTTGGGAAGAGTAGCCAGTGTTCTTAACCACTGGGTCATTTCTCCAGCCCATGAGGTCTTTATTCAGTATGTAAAATTACTTCAGAATGAATCCCAAACCTAATTATCAGTTAATAATAATAATAATAATTAAAATAATTATTTTAATAATTGTATAATATTAATTTAATTAAATTTAAAATTTAATAATTTTAAAATAATTTAAAAATTCTTAGAAGAAAACAAAACAGAGTTTGGCAGTGATTTAATCATAAACAGAATAATCTTCTTTTAAGAGGACAATAGGCTTGAATAGACATTTCTCCCAAGAATAATAGATACAGCGGGCTAATAAGAATCCAGGTATGGGGGCTGGAGAGATGACTCAATGGTTAAGAGCACTGACTGCTCTTCCAGAGGACCTGAGTTCAATTCCCAGCAACCACATGGTGGCTCACAACCATCTATAATGAGATATGATGCCCTTGTCTGACATTCAGGTCGAACATTGTATATATAATAAATAAATCTTTAAAAAAAAAAAAGCTGGGCGCCTTTAATCCTTGCACTCAGGTGGCAGAGGCAGATATATCTCTGTGAGTTCAAGGCTAGCCTGGTCTACAGAGCTAGTTCCAGGAAAGCTACGACTGTTACACAGAGAAACCCTGTTTAAAAAAAAAAAATAGAAAGGAGGCTGGAGAGATGGTTCAGTGTTTAAAATGCTTGCTGCTTGCAAAACCACAAGTCAGTTTCTAGAACTCATGTCAGACAACCTTCAGTTCCAAAGGATCTTTGCCCTCTTATGGACTCTTCAGGCACTCACATACATGTGCACATAATATACTTAGATGCATGTACCACAAATAAAAATAAATCTTTAAGACTTAAGAGGGAGCTAGGCGGTGGTGACACATACCTTTAATCCCAGCACTCAAGAGGTAGAGACAGGTGGATCTCTGAATTTGAGGCCAGCCTGGTCAACAAATTGAGTTCCAGAGCAGCTAGAACTGTTTGTTACAGAGAAACCCTGTCTCATCCCCGCCACCATCAAATTAGGAGGGATCCCAGAAGAAGAAGAAAACAACTTTAAACATAACTTTATGAAAATGATGGAGGCCTTTAAAGAGGAAATGAAAAACTCCCTTAAAGAAATGGAGGAAAAGACAAACAAAAAATTGGAAAAAATTAATAAATCCCTCAAAGAAAACAAACAAACAAACAGGAGAAACACAGTTCAAGACTTGAAGACTGATATAGAGGCAATAAAGACAACACAACTGGGGGAATTCTGGGTATGGAAAATGTGGGTAAACGAACAGGAACTACAGAGATAAGTATAACCAACAGAATACAAGAGATAGAAGAATCTCAGGTGTTGAAGATACTGTAGAGGAAATAGACTTATTGATCAAAGAAAGCATTAAATCCAACAAATTCTTAACAGCTAAGCTTTCTTTCCACGGCTGAGCTTCCATTGCTGGACTTGAGCTTCTCTTTTCCCCTGCAGATGCTCTTATATCCAGGGATAAACAGTAGTACTTTCTGTTAGAAGAGGCTGACGACCTAGCTAATTTGAAGGGCGCGGTGTTTTATTCTCGGGCTCTTTTACTGTTCTCTTCACTATCACAGAATTACGGAAGTGAGCCTGCCTAGCCCAGATCTTGGAGGACAGTTTGAACAAGTGTCTAAAATAGGGGAGACCCATCTCCCAGAATGAGCTTCTCAGTGAGTTCCAACAACTTGTGGTATTACTTACTTCATGGGGTTTTATGAAGAATAAATGGCACTAGCAAGGCTTGAGTGTTGGAAGGGTGGAGCAGCCTAGCCACCTTTTTTCATCAAACATGAGTTTTACTTCAATTAAATGAGTGCTCAAAGTAAATGCAGTAGAAATGTCAGTGACCTTGGAGGAGAGGTGGTCAGGAGTGCTTGCCTTTGCTTTTACTCTCTATGGGACTGGAAGGATGAGTTCTAGGGTAAAACAGATGAAGTAGCTTGGGATTCACTGCACTGTTTTAAGTGAAGGAGGAAAATCCTTAGAGGCTGTGTGGGAATCTGGCATTTCCTTCTGACTTCCGAGCTCCCTGTTTATGTTTTCATTCCTCTGTCTCAGCTCAGAGAGGCCACTGCTGGGAAATTAGTTCTCAAACAAAAACATATTTCAAATCTAATTTCAAATCTAAGGAAATGTCAAAAGCATCTTTCCAAGCCCAGAGTGGTGGCTACCACCTGTAATTCAAGCATTGAGAAGCTAGAGATTACATCTCAATGCTAGCCTGGGTTAGATAGTGAAGCCACATCTCAAAGCAGCACAAACAAGCAGAAATCCTCAATCTTTTTAATATTGCTATAGAAGATTTAATAATTTACAGAACTGGGACTAAAAGATATTTAGGTAAAACAAGTGACTCAAGGGACTTCCAAGTTTTAGTCTTTTCATAGCAAAAAAATCCTCATGTTCTTCACGTATGACTAACTCATGGTCTACCTAGGCCCTTCTACTTGTGCTCATGGTAAGCAGACTGATATAGGAATATAGCATGTATGATTGTAAGTATGAAGGAGCTAAGTACATGTCAGAGTTACAAATTAGAGAACACAACAAAAAACTTTTTAGTAAGAAGTCACTATATTTATTAATCTGAAACTTAATTTTGCTTTGTGTGTGTGTGTGTGTGTGTGTGTGTGTGTGTGTGGAGATGGAGTTTCTCTGTGTAGCCCTGACTGTCCTGAAACAGCTCACTCTGTAGACCAAACTAGTCTCAAATGTAACATGAGGGCTGGCTTGTTGGGGTTTATGTCCTGCCCAGTTCCCCACAGCCGGCAAGCCCCAAGGAAAGTCATACAGAGATCTCCATAAGTTATAAAACTGATTGGTCCATTAGCCCAGGCTACTTATTAGCTCTTATGACTTACATTAACCCATTATTCTGATCTATTTTAGCCATATGGCTCGGTACCTTTTTCAGCTGGCAGGTCACATTCTGCTTCCTCGTTGATCTGCGCAGGACTGGGGGGGAAATCACCTTCCTTCTTCCCAGAATTCTTCTGCTCTCATTGCATCATTTCCATTTCCTGTCTGGTTTTCCCGCCTACACCTCCTGCCTGGCCAATCAGTGTTTATTTAAAACATGATTGACAGAATACAGACAATTCTCCTGTACCACTCAAACTCAGAGATCTGCCTGCCTCTGCCTCTGGAGTGCTAGGATTAAAGGCATATGCTACCACCACCTGGATTAATTCTGCTTTTTTGAATAAATATTGGTGTACACTGCAAAAATCCAAAAGGATGTAGTTATTTATATCTACTGAGATATCTTGCTCCTGTTGGTGTATTTGTTTTATTTCCTCTCTGCCCTACGTCAGCGTTCGTATGTATTTCTATATAGCCTTCCAGCTTTGCAAATGTAAGCAGAAATATATCTATCCTTCCCTCACTGTTGCCATCTCCAAAAAGAAAAAAAAAAGTACATACTGTCCTCTAGTTTGTTTTACCTAGCAGTGTATTGCTCAGTGTAGAGTGTAAGTCAGTGTTGTCACTATAGCAAAATACCTAATTGCCTTATAAAAAGAAGAGAAAGGAGGAGGTTCCGCTCTATGGTCAGTTATTCTAACTACTTTGCACTTGTGGTAAGGCAGTACATCATGACAGGAGCATGTAGTATAACAAAAACACTTAAAAAATTAAAAAGTTAAAGGGAAGGGCTGGGGCCCCAGACTCACCTTCTAGAATATGCCCCCAGTGACTCAAGGAGTTTTCACCTGGTTCTGTAATTTCTTAACGGAGCAACCCATGTTCTCATGCCTTTAATACTTTGGACTTTTGGGGTACATTCAATGATAAGATATGGTCCTGGACCATACCAGTCTTCCATATATGGGTGAGTAGTCTGTTGCTATTGGAGATAACAAAGCAGTGATAGCCTTGTGTATGTCATTTTATCCGGTTGCGGTTGTATCTGCAGGATTCCATCCAGGAAATAAAATAGCTGCAGCATCTTGGATTGGGTGAATAGACTTGTGAGTTTGATAAACTAAGGGAGCATCATGTTTCTTTAATAGTAAATCTGATGCTAGCATTTATAGTAGTTGACTGCTGTGTGTCATGAACTTAGTAACTAGAGTTAATACTCATCACTGTTTTGGTAGGTGATAGATTTTTATTTTTAATTTTATATGAGTTTTGCTTGCTTGTATGTATGCACACTTTGTGTGTGACTAGGACCTGTGGAAAACATTAGAGGCTATCAAATCCCTTGGGACTGGAATTATACATAATTGTGAGCCATTTGGATGCTGGAAATCTAACCTGCATCCTCTCTAAGAACAGCAAGTGCTCTTAATAACTGAGCCATCTCTTCAACCCCCTTTCTCTGTTTTTGATTAGGTTACTCATCTAATTAAGTAGTATTAGAGTCTCCTGTTGACGGCCTGTGCGCCATTAGTGTGATATAATTATGTGATGGTGTAACGAAGCTAGGTAAACTTTGAAGACTGTGACCTGCATTCTTAGCCAAATGCGTTCTAGATCTATTTACACACTAGAAAAGAATCTTGCAGCTGCTGACAGCAGGGAGCAGAAAGAACTCTGTGCTGTGCTGTAGAACAGCGTAGAACCGTGATGAACAGAGCGCAGAGAAACTATGACTTATTTTCAGCAGGCTGAGGGACAATTTTAACTTTGCTCTGTTTTCCTGAGAAAATAACACTTACTTGGTAAGTATGACTTAAAAAAGGTTATTTTATAAAATTCTGTGTCACAGTAGGAAAGGAACACTGAATGTGCTGTATCTGCTTAAGTGGTTCACTCCTGTGAGACAAGGAAACCTGGAAGGTGTAGGGGGCTGCTTTGAGGAAACCTAGGAGGAACTCTCTATTCCAAGGAGCTTGAAACCTATGCCCTGGTTGCTAGATGCAGCAACTCATCGCTTGCATCGCTAGTAGTCCTAGCTTCTCTGGATGCTGAGGAAGAAAGGTCATTGAATATAGAAGTTCAAGGGCGGCTTGACCAGTGTAGCAGTTCTTCTTCTGGGCTTATCTAATGAAATAACATCAAGAGTAGACTAGGGATTCCATGTTTGTTAAAACACTTCACCTAGTTACTTTCTCATTTCAGATTTCTTTTGTCCCAGGGGTTACTTGGTTGTAAAATCAACTTCTCACCTGAAAGTGGCATTGTATTTCCTCAATCCTCAGAGATATATTCTTTTTTTTTTTTTTAGTTTTACTCATTTTTGTATGTGTGTGTTTTGCCTGTGTGTATGTATATGCACCACTTGTGTTCCTATTGTCAGCAAAGACCAGAAGAGGGAATTGGATCCCCTAGAGGTAGAGCTACATATAGGTGGTTGTAAGCTACCCAATGTGGCTGCTGGGAACTGAACTCAGGTTCTCTGGAAAAACAAGTGCTCTTAACCAACTAGCTATCTCTCTAACCTGGTTAATTTTATTTTTAATTATGTATGTGTGGGTGTGTGTATAAGTGAGTGGAAATGCCTGGGGAGTCCAGAAAGTGCTGAATCCTTTAGAGCTAGAGCTACAGATAGCTGTTTGAGCCACCTGGTCTGGGTACTAGGAACCAAACTTAGGTCCTCTGCAGCAGTAGAACATAAGTTTAACCTTGGAGGCATCTTTTTCAGTCCCTGACTGTAGTGTTTTTAATAATAGATAACTATGGATATAGTCCAGCCTTGCATGTTCAAAGCTATAGGTTTTATCCCCAGCCCTGTTAAACAATTGCAAAATGCCAAGTTTTTAATCATGAAATTTATTTTAAATCTCTTCATAATTTTGTCGTTTAATAGATATTCTTCACAGCAAATCTATAAACAGATTGCTGAATTAGATCAGTACAAAACAATACAAGGAAGTATTAAGTGGTTTTCCTAACTCCATAAGCAGCCAAGTATCTGTAATTGAAAAAGAGATGCTAAATTGGATGTGGCAATACATACCTATAACCTAGCACTTTGGAGGCTGAGGCTAGAGGATCATGAGTTTAAGACCAGTGTCAGTCAACTGTATAACGAGTTCAAAGCTAGCATGGGCTGCATATTGTTCCCATGTTCTCTGTTTTCCCTCGGTCTTACTTAGTTGGGGCTTCTGTTGCTGTAATGAAAACACCATGGCCAAAAGTAACTTGGGAAGAAAAGGGTTTATTTCCGTTTACAGCCTGAGGTCCGTTGTCCAGGTTAAGTCAGGGCAGGAACTAAAGCAGAGTCCTGAAGGAGTGTCACTTACTGGTTTACTCCTCATTGCTTTATCAGCCTGCTGCATGTTTGCTGTTTCTGTTTGGTTTGGTTTTTTCTTTTTCTGGCAGGGTGGTTTTGGTTTTTTGTTTTTGAGACAGTCTCTCAATATGTATCTGTCCTGGAATTCTCTTAATGTAGAAAACCAGGCTGGCCTTGAATTCACAGAGATCCCTAAGTGCAGGGATTAAAGATGTGCACCACTGTGCTCCAGCTTGCTTTCTTATACCACTCAGGACCACCTGCCTCAGGGTGTTACCTCATACACACATAGTGTGGGCTGGGCCCTCCCATATCAATCATAAATCAAGAAACTGCCTTACAGACTTGTTGTGGGCAATCTGATGAAGGCTTTTATTCAGTTGAGGTCCCTATTCCTAAATAACTCTAGCTTGTGTCAAGTTGCCAAAAAGCAGACTCTCTAAAAGAATAAAGGGGGCAGAAAATACTAAGCCACCTTAGGTCTGAGTGCTGCCTTCTGATCATAAGCCTAATTGAAGGGTACTTGGTACTTTGCTTTCTACCCTCATCCTTTAGTCCTGATCTCTTAGCCTTGTCCATTTTCTTTCTTCTATAAAATGATAATTTAGAAGTTGGGTGGGTGGGCTGGAGAGATGGCTCAGTGGTTAAGAGCATTACCTGCTCTTCCAAAGGTCCTGAGTTCAATTCCCGGCAACCACATGGTGGCTCACAGCCATCTGTAATGAAGTCTGGTGCCCTCTTCTGGCCTGCAGACATACACACAGATAGAATATTGTATACATAATAAATAAATAAATAGTATTAAAAAAAAAAGTTGGGTGGGCATGATAGCCCATATAATCCCAGCACTAGAGAGGCAGAGACAGGAAGATCATTGAAAATGTGAGGCGAGCTTGGTCAAAGTGGATTGAATTTTAGGCCAGCCAAGAATCCACAGCCAGACCATTTGTCCAGATGTAAAATGTCTGTTTAAAAGACTTGTGCTCATTCCTGTCTGATGTGGTAGTACTGATTACTTCCTGTTTGCTAGACATTGCATTTGCCATGTACCATCCTATTTTCATTATTGCAATGAGAGCTGATGACGTTTTAAGTTATAAAGTATTCAAAATTTATAATTTCTGCAACTGAAACAAGTTAATAAAACACTTATGAATTTCTTTTGTCTTTTAAATCTCCCACACATGCAGCGTACCAGTAATGTTCGGTCCACATTTTTCAAAGACTGTTTATATGAAGTATTTGATGACCTGGAGTCAAAGATGGAAGATTCGGGAAAACAGCTCCTTCAGTCTGTTCTCCATCTGATGGAAAATGGAGCCCTAGTATTAACTACAAATTTTGATAATCTCCTAGAACTCTATGCAGCTGACCAGGGAAAACAGCTTGAATCCCTTGACCTTACTGATGAGAAAAAGGTAAAATGTTAACCAGTAGTCTTCTCTTAGGGTAATGGGTTTTATCTTCCTCAGAAAATGTGCCTTCTGTAGCGGAAGAGTATCAGTAATACTTTCACATTGCTAGGACTAAGATACCCCACAGAAACCAGCTAAAGGAGGAAAGGCTTCTAGAAGCTCACTAGTGCAGGGAGCTTTAGGCATCACAGTAAGAAGAGCACAGTGGAGAGGCTCCCTTTTGTGGCGCTTGGAGCATGTGGTAGAGACCATTCACATCATAGCAGAACAGAGCAAGAGGGTGGACCAGAATTGGGACCAGGTTATAACCTGGTCTATTTTACTGGGAAGACCCCACCTCCCAAAATAGCATCATGAATTGGGGGCCAGCACTTAAACCATGAGCCTGGAATGGACATCTCCAGTTAAAATTATCAGTGAGAAAGAAGACTGCTTTCCTTGCTTGTACTTTTGTGTTGGTTGGTTGTTTAGGTAAAATCAGTATACATACAATAAAACACAAAGATTTTAAAGTTATGAGTATTGATAGTTTTGCCCAGTTGTAAGGGTGAGGTTAGTCATTTGAAGAAACTGGAACAGTGGTTCAGTGGATTGGCTATCTAACCAGACTTTGGGAGTTTCCAGCCAGTGAGGCAAAGAGAGAAAAGAAGAATGGGAGTGAGCTGTGAGATGGCTCAGTGGGCAACACCATCAAGCCTAGTGACCTCAGGTCAGTTGCCAGGACCTATATGATAGAAGGAGAGAACCAACTTCTGCAAGTTTTCCTCTGACCTCTGCATGTGTGCCATGATGCTACACCCCCTCCCCCAACATACACCATGTGCACACATACACACACACACACACAGATTTGAAAGGTGTTGATGAAGAGATGATTCCTTTACGGTCATTTTCATTGTTTTGTTTCCTTAGAACCTGCCTTTTTGCCCAGCTTAGTTAGTACCCAGATGAATAGTCTGAATAGATAAACGAGTCCCTCGGTGCCACAGGCCTGCCTCTGCTAGGGTAGTAGCTGGAATACTACTTTGATTGGGACCTGGGACCCAGATTGGGAATTGAACAAGGTGTGCTGGTGCATTCCTGTAATCCCGGTACTCATAATGCTGAGGTGAGAGGATTTTAAGTTGAAGGCCAGTCTGGGTTAAATAATGAGCAAAAAAGAATGAAAATAAGCTGGCTATAGTGGTGCACACCTATAATCCCAGCACTCAGGAAGCAGAAGCAGGTGGATCTGTGTAAGTCTGAGGACAGCCAGGGCTTCACAGAGATATTCATGAGGGAGAGAGGAAGAAAGGATGGGAGGATGGTACCAGTGCTTGAACCATCACCAGAGGAAACTATCCATATTGGGTTGCAAATGCTGACAAACTGTAACTGCTGACAGTGACTTTCAAAGAGAAGTCACTAGCTTTTGTTGCCATCATTCCCAACAGTTCAAACATAGGAACTTGGGCCCATCAAGTTTTTGAATTCTTGTCCTTATGATAACATGAAGTTGGACAGTTATGTCAGAAGTCTAATCCTCAGGCAGCCTCTTACACATTGTGACTTTGAAGCAGGTGCTCGCCTTGCCATCCTGTCGAGCTATGTATGTATTGTGCAGGTTCTGGAGTGGGCTCAGGAGAAGCGGAAGCTAAGTGTGTTACACATCCATGGGGTTTATACCAATCCTAGTGGCATTGTCCTCCACCCAGCTGGATATCAGAACGTGCTCAGGAACACTGAAGTTATGGTAAGTGGTGCTGATCTAGCTGTGCTTTCACTCCTGCAGACATTTCTAAGCATATTCTAAATATTAACACGGGAGCATTTACTTCTCATTAATCCAAACAAGAGGAAAGTTAGACCTTACTCCCTTGTGTTTTATCCCTCAGTTTGCATGCCATCCTGAGAAACGCAGATAGTTTACTTCAGGTGTCAGATCAAAGGACAGGTATTTATTTACCTATGCTTGGTGATCAGCCAGCAGATGGCACTCTCTCATTGGCATCACCTTCACATACCAAGAATATAAAAGTTTCCTTCTTCATTATTTGATTTCTTAATAAGTCCATGTCCAAAATAATTTAGGCAGCTTTTTAAAAAGCTCTCCAGTTACAGGACTGGAGAGATGGCTCAGTGGTTAAGAACACCGCCTGCTTGTCTAAAGGTCCTGAGTTCAATTCCCAGCAACCACATGGTGGCTTACAACCATCTGTAATGAGATCTAGTGCCCTCTTCTGGCCTGCAGGCGTGCATGTAAACAGAGTACTGTATACACAATACATAAATAAATAAATAAATAAATCTTTAAAAAAATAAAATTAAAAGCAGTTACAGTTGGGACATAGATTATAAAAAGGCTGTCTACTTATTCACACTTAACTGTTTACTTAGAAAATGAAAATCAAATTAATTGGATGACAAAATGGAGGTTTTCTTCTTTGAGTTTGTTGATCTTTGGGGGTTCAAGTTTTGAACTTTTTCACATATACAAGTTTAAACTGGAAATGTTTCTTGGGTCCAGCTCAGTGCTACAAATTTTCAGAACAGAGTCACATGGAATCTTTACAGGACGGAGCCAGAGAAAGACCAGGAAACATGATGCTTTCTGAAGTATAAGGGCCATATCCTTCCCCAATATTTACTATAAATCTATCCATCATTGATATTGAGTGTGTGTGTGTGTGTGTGTGTGTGTGTGTGTGTGTGTGTACTATATGCACAGACACAAATTATGTATACACTCATGGTGATGCTTTTAGTAAGGTTTCTTTGACCATATCTATTTTTTTAAAAAAATATTTATCCATTTATTATGCATCCAGTATCTGCCTACACATGTGCCTGCAGGCCAGAGAGGGCACCAGATCTCATTACAGATGGTTGTGAGCCACCATATGGTTGCTGGGAATTGAACTCAAGACCTTTGGAAGAGCAGGCAATGCTCTTAACCACTGAGCCATCTCTCCAGCCCCCTCTTTGACCATATCTAATGACAGAATTATGTTTTCTGATGACTAGTGGTTCAGTTTTTAAAGCAAGAAACATTTGAGGGCTGGTAAGATGGCCAAGTGGGTAAGGCACTTGCTCCACAATATGAGAACTTAGTTCTAGCCCTAGCACTGACATAAATGTCAAAGACAGTGGCATGTGTATATAATCCCAACACTTGGAAGGTAGAGACAGGGGAGCAGACTATCTGGGTCAGTCGAATCTACAAGAGTTCAAATAAGAGACCTGCCTCAGTACATAAAATGGAGAACAATGGAAAAGAACTCCCAACGTCAACTTCTAGCCTCCACAGATTACATGTAACATGCATGTACACATACACATTCAAAAAACAAATAAAAATTTAAAGTTGTCAAATTTTTTCTCCAGAAAGTGAAAAGGGGTAAGATACATCAGAGACCCATTGGTTGTCTAATTAACCAAGAACATAAATCTAAAAAATTAAACTTGCAAGATCAGTAAACTGGTGCCAATGTGGTGAACTGTTTAAAGACAAAACAGAAAAATCAGTGAGATGACACAGCGGGTTAAACTCTTGTTGTGCAAGCCTTGCAGATTGACTTCAATCCCCTGAACCCATGTAAAGATAGGACAGAGAAAAATGAGTTCATAGTTGTCCTCTGATTTCCACTTGCATCCTGTGGCATGCAGTCATGTACTTAACGTCATATACACAAAATAATGTATATTTTTAAAGAAACAAAAGAATCTTCAGATGAATGTCAGATAAAAAGTAGTTTTAGATCAAGCATCACATTGTAATAATAACTAGGGAATCAAACCTTCTTGTAATCTCTTTCCCTCTTAAATTTTGATCAGTGAACCATTTCAGTCTGCTAAATGTAGCAGTTAAAGACTATTGACCTTTTTGCTTCAGCCAAATCTTTTGTCTGTCTTCTTTGTCAGTAATCTGTTGTTTTCTTTTCCTTGAAGAGAGAGATTCAGAAACTCTATGAAAACAAGTCATTTCTTTTCTTGGGTTGTGGCTGGACGGTGGACGACACCACTTTCCAGGCCCTGTTCCTAGAGGCTGTCAAGCATAAGTCCGACCTAGAACATTTCATGCTGGTTCGGAGAGGAGATGTAGATGAGTTCAAGAAGCTTCGAGAAAACATGCTGGACAAGGGGATTAAGGTCATCTCCTATGGAAATGACTATGCTGATCTTCCAGAATATTTCAAGAGACTGACATGTGAGATCTCCACAAGAGGCAGATCAGGTAAGGGAAGGTCAAAGAGCAGCAATCCTTTGGCTTTTTGTGTTGGTGAGGAATAAAATCGCTAAAGACCAGATGAGGATGTGTTGTGTCGACCAGTTTGCGAAGAGGAGAAAGTGTCACGCCAAAGTACCACTTTGATAATGGGAAATAATCATAATATATACCCTTGCAAATTATCATACACATAGAGAGTAAGAAAAACACATAAGGATTCTTAGCTTCAGGCCAGCCAGTTTTCCTCAGTAGAAAAAATGCACTTGCCACTCAAGCCTGCCTACCTGAACTCAGTCTCTTAGCCTACTATGGAAAGGAACCTACTCCTGAAAGTGGTCCTTTGACCTCCACACCTGTGCTGTGGCACATGCCTGCCCTGCTTATGTATCATACATACATATAATTAAAAAAATCTTTGAGGTACTGGAGAGATGACTTGTTAAGAGCACTTGCTGTTGTTCCAGAAGACCCAAGTTTAGGTCCAGCAACTATGTCAGGAGGCTCACAACTTCCTGTAACTCCAATTCTAGATCTAACTCCTTCTTTTGGCCTCCATGGGTGCACACACACACACACACACCTACACACACAATAAATCATAAAATTTTGAAGATACTTAGTTCAAGTGAGGTTCAATTAAAATTCAGGTTTCAAAATGGAGATAAGTTACTGTAAACTTAGCCTTGGCTAAGTTTATGAGGAAATTTCTTTCATGTATATATCAAAAATATCAGGACCTTTTGTTTCAGAAACACTACTGATATAATTTATCCTGTAAGAAAGTTTCCATAAAGAATAATGTGGTTGCACACAGTTGAATTAAAGCTGGAAGTGTGACAGACCATGATGGTACACAGCTCTAATCACAGCACTCAGAAGGCTGGGGCAGGAGGATCAAAGGGCAGCATAGCAAGACCCCAGCTTGAATTGGGGGAAACCTGGGGGCCTTAGGGGAGGAATAAGGCCAGGTCTAGTGTATGGTCATTCGGACTCACCCACCCAATTATAAAGGAATTTTCTTGCTGTTCGTTACAGACTGTTGATAAAGAACCTGACTTTGTTGGTTAGTTTTTGGATTTTTCTTTTTTTCTTTCGAGGGGGGTTGTCTTATTTTTGGGTTTTGTTTGAGATGAACTTGCTTTGTAGACCAAACTGTCCTCAAACTCAAGAGACTTAACCTGTCTCTGCCCCCTGAATGCTGACCTTGAACTCACTGTATAGTCCAGGTTTGCCTGTAGCCAACTCTGAATCCTCCTGTCTCAACTTCACAAGTACTGTGATTATATAAACACACACCCACTCTGCCCAGCCCTCTTCAATATATATATATATATATATATGTATATATATAATTTTACTTTATGTTCATTGATATTTTGCTTGCATGTGTATCTGAGGGTGTCTCTGGTATGGTAGTTATAGGCAGGTGTGAACTGCCATGTGGTGCTGGGAATTGAACCCAGGTCCTCTGGAAGAGCAGCCAGTGCTCTTAACAACTGAGCCATCTCTCCAGCCTTGCTTCTAACTTTTTGATGAGCATTTTTGTTACCAATTTGAATGTATTTTAGATAACACATTAAAATACAGGTGATCTAGTATATATTCCTAAATCTAATCATTCCCAGAGATGACTCCAAGTAGGATTCTAATATAGTAAAAATTTCTTTTGAGTTCTCTCATGGCAGTGCTTAGTAGGCTGAAGCAGGTTCTGGGCTAAAGTAGGAAACTTGTCTTTTATTTGTTTGTTTGTTGCTGGGGTTTTTTTGTTTGTTTGTTTGTTTTACTTTTTTTTTCTCTGTGTAGCTTTGGAGCCTATCCTGGCACTAGCTCTGTAGATCAGGCTAACCTCGAACTCACAAAGATCAGCCTACCTCTGCCTCCCAAGTGCTGGGATTAAAGGCATGCACCATCACTGCCGGGAGAAACTTGCCTTTTATTTAAAATGCTATTACTATAACTAAGCATCAAATGTTTCATGTATTCTTCCTCTTTCTCTCTCCAGAGGCTTAGAAAACACTTAGAAAGGCAAAGCTTTCAGGGTTTTTGTTTTGTTTTTTTGGTTTTTTGAGACAGGGTCTCCCTGTAGTTTTGGAGCCTGCCCTGGAACTAGCTTATAGACCAGGCTAGCCTCGAACTCACAACGATCCACCTGCCTCTGCCTCCTGAGTGTGCAGAGGCACACCCAGGAGATTATCTCTTTTGTGAAATGATCTGCCATCTTTTTCTTGAGAACAGTTTTTCTGGTGTCCCTCAGTGTGATAGACCTTTAGGCTGATGTTTGCAACATTGGGTTGAATTTTTCTTTCATGTACCCTGATTGCATAAACTGGAGACAAGCTATAAGCTCTTAAACAGTTAAATTTGATCTATACTAGATTTTTGTTTTTGGAGACAGGGTTTCTCTGTATAGTCCTGGCTGTCCTCAAACTCAGAGATGTGCCTGTCTCTTCCTTCAAAATGCTGGGATTAAAGGCATGCACCCCCCCCCCCCCGGCTTATTTTTTAAATAAAAGTTTTCCATATGGTCATATTGAAATTGCCTGTCAGGTAACTTCTAGTCTAGCAGAGCAGTTTTTCTTCATTTTGTGTGGAGTCAAGCCTGTCTTCCACCTATTATGCTTTATGTCTCAGTAGATACATGCTGATAAGATGTCATCAAGGGGAACATAAAGTGTAAAACATTGCTATATCAGCACCTATTTTAGTACAATGTTATTTCAGCTACTTAACCAATAACCAGTTTAACTAAATAACTGATTTCACCAATGCACTCTTTCACAGCTGTAAACAAAGCTTAATCTTGTACACTTTAAAAAAAATAAATAAAAAGTTTCACTCTATAAAAATACTTGCCTGAAAATAGCTGTGTAGCCCAGGCTGGCCTTCACTCTCACCTTCCTAAAACGTGCATCACCATGCCCTGCTTTGTATTTATTGGTTGTGTGTGTGTGTGTATGTATATATGTATGTATGTATGTATATACACACACACACCACATGAAATAAAGCTAGTGAGACTGAGGTACAGGAATTTTTAATTCAAACTAACATGCTTTTATTTACTTAAATTTGTATTTAATTCATATTGGGTGTACTTGCTGGGAATAAAGTAAGCAGCCACATTTTGTCTATGTAAAATGTTTTGGTAACTAGAGACACAGCTCAGTTGGATAAGAGCTCTGACTGCTCCAGAGGACCTGAGTTCAACTCCTAACATCTATATGATGGTTTACAACCAACTGTAACTCCAGTTCCGGTGGTTCTGACACCCTCTTCTGGCCTCCTCAGGCACCAGCTATGCACATGGTGCAGAAACATATATGCAGGCAAAATACTCGTGCACATAAAGAAAGTAATCTAAAAATTAAAATTGGAAAAAAATGTTAGCCAGGCTGTGGTGGTGCATGCCTTTAATCCCAGCACTTGGGAAGCAGAGATAAGCGGATCTCTGTGAGTTCGAGGCCAGCCTGGTCTACAAGAACTAACTCCAGGACAGGCTCCAAAGCTACAGAGAAACCCTGTCTCGGAAAGAAAAAACAAAAAAGTTTACAAGCAGTCTTGTAAAGTCTTATGAAGTAGTACACACTTAGAATTCTAACTACCAGGGAGGCCAGAGCTAGAGGATCTGCAGCTGTAGCCTGCTGTGGTAACACAGTGAGATCCATTCAGACAAAAACCATCTTAGTGCAGTAAGGAACCCACTGCTTCTGTTTAGTATTGACAGTCTGAAAGTTACTCTTACCTCATCTTGTGCCATGTCATCTTTAGTTACACCCTGTGCCCTTAGCTCCCCTTAGTTTTCATTTTTGCCATTAATAGTTTTAGCTTTTCCAGGAACAGCCAGGATGGCTGTGGGTAAAGGCATTTGCTGCTAAGTTTGACGACCAGAGAATACGACTGTGTTGTATTCCTGCAATCCACACAGTGAAGAGAACCAATACCCAAAAGTAGCTCTAACTTGCGTGCGCGCGCACACACACACACGCACACACACACACACACACAAAGAAAAATGGAAAAAAAAATCCACTTCTTCACCTAATGTCTATACTAACGTTTTGTTTTTAGCAGGGATGGCAAGAGAAGGCCAGCTAAATGGTTCATCTGCAGCACACGGCGAAGTAAGAGGTATACTACTTCCTATTCTATCAGTCAGCAGAAAAACTATCTAGAACTTTTAGATTGTGGAAAATCAAAATTTGCCTTTCCTTACCTATTTGAAATTCTCTGAATCTGCTTTCTGGAAACTTAGGACTGTGTGACTTAAGCAAGCACCGGCAGTTTTAGATGCATAAACTTATTTTGTGGACTTCATTCTTTCCCTTTTGTTTCCCCATAGGCTGTAGTACATGAACAAGCTGGAGACATCACCATTAGACCACGCTATGGGGCCTTCCTGTGGATGTGTGTGACAAGCAAACATACAAGAACTCAGAACAGCTCCCAGGAAGTACCAGTACCCTAAGTTGAAGCTTGGGGTAGACTAGGGGTAGCAGCATTGCACCTTCCTTTCATGCTGGCTGTTTCTTGATACTGTTGCCTGGTTCAATTTAATACCCAGTGACATCAGGACCCAATGCAGCCCCTACCTACCCCAGGGCAGGACATGCTTGTCTACACAGCAGACCAATATGATGGCTCCTGGCTATGGTTGGCAGCTCTGCAGGACTTGGGGAGCAAGAAGTCGTGGAGTCAGTAGGCTTGTGTTGCAGTTTTGTACTCTATTTGGTTTTTTCAATTGAGCTATGGCTTTTTTAAAACATGACTTGAAGCTCTAGTTTTCTAGATCTTTTACAGTGTACAGTATTTTACATAACTGAGCTGTATTAAAAGCTTGTTCATTTACATGCCAGGGCCCTGGTTTTACATTTAAGAGTTGTTAAACATGAAACTTGCATTCTATTTTCATCTTAGGCAGGGTGATCTTTCTTAGGACAAGTTGCCAATTCCTCAGATGACTGTTAGTTCCTTTCATGCCCTTCTTGCCAAAAAGAAACCCAAGAATGAGTTAGCATTTTAGTTTTAAATCCTATATGTAAATATAGATCTAAGAGGCAATTTCTTTATGAAATTTATTCTTATATAAATTATGTATTTCTCTGGGCAGACAGCCTTCACCTTATTGCACTAGTAGCACATCTGTAATACCAAACTACAGGACAAGTCTTAACAAGAGGTTTGTGTTCTTCAACGTAGCACTTGTCTACCAGGCACTGTAGAAGAGGATGGGAAAAAGCCAGGACCTGCTCAGGAGGCCAAGAGGTGGGTGGAGTGGGGTATAGGACAACGATAACCCTTCTGACAACTGGTTTTCTCCCAGGAAGGTAAACATGCAAAGCTTACATCTGGATTTTGGGAGCAGGGACAAGTTGGAAGGCAACTCAGCTCCCTTTGTTTCTGAGAGAAGTGGGCACTCACCTTTCACTCATTTGTAACAAGGCCTAACTGATGCTTTGGGGCAACAATCAGGTATAGAGTTCATCATCAGATTTAGAATTAGCAGCAATTAAGAATAGACCACCATCACTGCCACAGTGAGGTGGCTGTCACCCTGGCACCAGGGACCCGAAAGCTGTATATTCTAGAGAGAGGTGTCATTAAGACCCAGAGCTGGCTCTGGAAGTAACCCAATAGAGCTGGGACTTCAAACTGCTCCTTATCTCAGATGGCTTTGTGATCACACTAGTTAGCAATACTCCAGGTGTTGGGTTTTCCAACCATTGGTCAAAGCTATGATACTGAATCTAGGCAGAGTGAAAGAGATGCCTGAGAAGGAAGAGGGAGGCTTGTGGTGATAAGGGAGGGTCATCGGGCAGTGATTGTAACATGATTAGGCCCTCCTTGCAGGAGGTAGGGCTGAACATGGAGTAGAGTTAGGAGCTGCAAGTCTCCACAGCTCCCCTCACTCTGCCTTTGTACTACACTGAAGACAAGTTGCTCACATACTTTAAAGCACATTCTTGATACAGGAATGGGGACTTGGGGCAAGCGGCGATTTGGTATCAGGCAAAAGCCACGTTAAGCCTTCATGAGGGCAGCCACCACAGCCTTGGCGTTGAGACTGCGTAGGTCACAGTAGGTCTGGCCAGTGCCCACAAAGACGATGGGTTTGCTTGTAATGTATGTCATAGAAATAGCAGCTCCCACCTGGAGAAGAGAAAGAGGATGGCCCATCAACTCAAGTTCTATTACATTAAACACCTCAGCTTCCTTTTGTAAAGAAGCTCATTCCAACTTCCAGTCACATTCATTATCCAGTATCATCCACCTTTACCTTGTCATCAATGGTGTCAAATTTGGTAAGAACAATACCATCAATGAGCCGAGGTGTTTGAGCCATAGAATGGTCAGCCAAGGCTCTATTGAACTTGATCTGAAAAGGGAAAAAGTAACATAAGAAACCATCTCGTTTGCCAGGTTTAAGTTGTGAAGGGAACTAGGCCCAAGCCCTCACCAGCTGATCCACGGCTTCATTGCCTACTAAGGCCTCCCCCACAAACAGCACCAAGTCAGGTGTATTGACAGTAATGAGTTTGGCCAGGGCAGTCATCAGGGGGGCATTGTCTTGCATGCGGCCAGCTGTGTCCACCAGCACCACATCAAATCCTTGGTTACGTGCTAGAGAGAGAAAAATAGTTAACTCCAAGCACATAACTGTCACTCATAATGCCAACTTAATAAGATTTCTTACTCTATGTGAAAAGTCACCCAACTGTCACTCCTGCTTACTGCCAGCTTCTTGGGATGTCCCAGTCTGGCTATTTGAAAAGCCTATCCTGTTTACTTACTGAGACTCTGGATTTGGTTACAAGGTAATGTAAGAAAAAACCTGTCCTATTCTTGGCCACCACCAAAACTGTTCAGGGAAAGGATATTAATAGGATAAAGGTGACCACATTCAGATCTGTGGTTAAGATATACACTAGCTTTTTCTCCTTTCAACTACATAATTACCATCCAAAAACATCACCCACACCAGTAACTTATTCTGACTTCTCTGGTAAGCCTACGTCTGCAAATTCCTAGGGAATACAAAAAGGACACCACAAGCCCTCTTGGTCCCCACACTACCAAAAGCAATGGCTTCCATGGCAATGCCAGCAGCGTCCTTCCCATAGCCTTTTTCAAACAACTGCACCATCGTACGACCACCATGCTTCTCAGGGGGATGGAGGGCGGTCAGACGTCGGGCGTGTGTACGAAGCTGCTCAACAGCCCCAGCCCGAAATGTATCACAGGCAGCAATGAGGACACTGAAGCCATTCTCTAAAAGCCAGAAGGAAATCTGCAAAAACAAAACAAAACAAAACAAAACAAAAAAGCTGCCATGTAGAAGCAGGACTCTAAAATCACAGGGTGAAAAAGTAAAAGCAGCAGGCTGGAGATCTGAACTGACCTTGGCAAGATTAGTAGACTTCCCCACTCCATTAACACCACAGAAGGTGACAACGTAAGGGCGCTGGCGACGTTGGGCATCCATGATATCCCGGAGCATGTCTACGCGACGCTGTGGCTGCAGAATCTGTACCAGAGACTCCTGTAGAGCTTGCTTGACTGTGGAAGTCACAGCTTAAAAGGGAGATGGAGGGATTCAGTCAGAAAACCAAGTATCACACTTGATACCTAACATCTTTCTGATCTGATAAAGACCATGCAGTCTCTTCCCAAGAATTCAGATCAAACTGTTCTAAGTACTTTAGCTCATTTAAATCATCTATTAAGTTCTAAAGGCCGTTCTATCATTAGCAGTTTAGAAATTAAGGTGTTTGCCAAAAGGCACATACCCAAGAGGTCTGACTTTCACCTCTGAAGTGCATGTGTGCTTTATGACGTGCAGATACTTACTGCTAAATGTCCCCATCACTTTCCCTTCCAACTTGTTGGCAACAGATTCACAGAGCTGGACAGCAATATCTGCAGCAACATTCTTAGCTGAGGAGAGGGACAGCTATGAGTTCTGTGTTAACAGTGATCAGTTCTCAGTACAGTTTAGAACATGGTTCTACCCATTCTCAACTCTATGCCACATAGGTCAGCCCAGTCCTCCACACTCACCAATGAGATGATCACGCATCTTGTCTAACACAGACTCCATGTCTTCACGACTTAAGCTCTTGGAACCCACAAGGCCCTTCAGCATCCCAAACATGCCACCCAGAGTTCCCTTGGTAGCACTACAAGCACAGAAGGCCACAAATACACATAAGGCCAGCAGGCAGGAGGTATGGCTCATAAATTCTGCAGCCATCCACACCACCTCCCACCTGAAATTCTTCTACCTAGGTTTGGTGTTTTGAGTGGCCCCTTCGTCATCTGAGCTGCTGCAATCCAGATCTTGAAGCTGTCCCCCAGGCCCAGTTCCTCGAATCTGGAGGACATGGGTAAAGGAAGAAGATGGGATCAGGAACACTAACAGCTAAGGAAAGATCCCACATCCTGTCAACATTGTGAGATCTTGAAGAAACTCCAAATACAATTCATTCCTCTCTCAAATCCAGGCATACCCTCCAAGGCTTTCTGGCTAATGGTAACCTTTGCTCTGATCTTTATGCCTCTTACCAAGTTGATATCTTCAGACAAAGCAGCCTCTGGGGTTCCATTGGTGGTAGGAGTACTGTAATCCAAGACTTCCTTGTTAGCAGAGCCACCTAGTTCCCAAACCCGGGGTGCCTTTTTGCCCTTCTCCTTTGGAATATCTGACTTCGAAGACTTGCTGCAAAGGATCATATGAGAAAGGGTTACGGTAAGAAAGTAGAAAGAACAAAAGTAGTTCTCTAACATCTAACACAGCTGGGTAAGTCACCAGAGAGACTGATTAGCCTTGTGCTCACCTGGATTTGTCCAGACCCTTCCCATGCTTTTGAATAAACTCTTCTCTCTTCCTGCGTATCAGCTCCTCTTTGGAAAGTTCTCCATTCTCAGGTCCCACTGGGAGACCTGACTTTTCTGCAGGGGCTGCTTTGTTAGGAGCCAAAGGGCCATCAGAACCTGTTAAGAGAAACCTCACTGAAGGAAAAACAAAACAACAAAAACAAATCGAACAACACAAGCCCTAACCACCCAGATAATAACTACACTTCTTCCAGATCCTTAAGAGCAAACTTAGACCACAGGGGGATGGAAGAACAGGGTGGTGAGCACTTCCACTGAGGGAGGCCAGCAATGACAAGAGGCCACCACAGATCTTTTATAGCACCATCTTAACACTTTTTTTAAAAAAATATTTATTTATTATGTATACAATATTCTTTCTGTGTGTATGCCTGAAGATCAGAAGGGGGCACCAGACCTCATTACAGATGGTTGTGAGCCACCATGTGGTTGCTGGAAATTGAACTCAGGATCTTTGGAAGAGCAGGCAATGCTCTTAACTGCTGAGCCAGCCCCCATCTTAACACTTTTGATGGCCTAGCATGTTCAGGAAGATCGAACGCACCTTCCTTTTTGGCCCCCTTTTTTTTGTTGTTTTTTGCTTTTTCCTTGGTCTTCTCCCCCCGTGTTTCAATCATGGACCTCACGGGTTTCTTAGCTTTTTCAGAATCTTCAAACTTCTTCATGGTAGTGGGAGCACGGATTTTACTGCTCTCCTCTGCTTCACTAAAGAGAAAATAGAATGGTTGGTCTTTCTACTCACATAGGAGGAAAAAAAAAAATCTGCCTCCAGAAAAAGGTCCCACATGTCAAAGGGACAGTCAGAAATGAGCTACTAAATGTGGCTGCTTTGAGCCTGTAAGTTAATATTGTTGAACCACCTGCAGGCAAGGCACTTATCAAACCATCACTGGTTTTAAAATGGGGAAGTCTCACCGAAGGAGCCGCAGGAAGTCATTCTGGAAATCAAAAGT